GTTTAGGTATTTAGTGTCTCTATTTGTATTTATTGTTTTGTATTTCTATTTTAACTGTTATAAGTTTTTTTTTTTTTGATGGTAAGTTTTGTTCTGTACAAAAGACAATGTTTACTGAAAGCTTGCCAAATTTTGTAAAGATACCTAAATCTTATCATATCAGACGATGTATTGATACAATCGTATCATGGCTTCACAAAACGATACTGGTAACGTATTACTGTATTGCCACACCCCTAATTAATATATTCTGCAAATAATTAGCTCAGTCAGGCTATATACTCCAATGATTTTAAAACTTGTAAATAACTTTATTTAAAATGTGCTTGATATGAAAATAAAAATGTTAAAAACAATTTTTTAATTTTATTAAAATTAAATAGCTATAATTATTTACAATAATTAGAAAATAATTATAGCATTGGAAAACAAGATTCCTATTTTCAAAATTGTTTAAAGCTGTGAAATTTCTCATTTTTTTTTTACAATCATCATTGTTTGTCAAATATTTATTGATTTTTGTACATGTTGTGAAAAACTTTATTTCTAACATGAAAGAAGTACTCAATTAACTTACACATGATACAGGCCTAAAGTTGAAACTAGTCACTTTTTAAATATTTAAATGTTGATTATTTTAGGGTGGTGAAGTTTATTAAAATGTTTATTTTTATCAAAAAAATTCAGTAGTTTTATACAGTAGTCATGTGTACCTGTGAAATGCTAATAATCATATTATCTTCAGGTTGTTACATATTTTATTCTGCTTTCCATGTATGATGCACTTTCATATCCAATAGTTTAGGATGAACAAAATAACTTACTCCTAAACTAGATGTACTTCCACAGGGTCCTTGAAAGTGTTGTGTTTCAAGAGTAAATAAAACCAAAATTAAGAGTAACAAATAATTTTTATTTCTTACTTTTGAAGTTCATGTGTCATACTGTGTTGTAGCCTACAGAGTGCATAATTCTTCTCATGATTCAAAGGCATGTGTGTGTTTTACTGATGCCACAACAGTACAAATTGCAACACTAAGCATCCCTTGTTTGGCATCATTTTAGTGTACTGACTGACTGACTGACCACACATTGCTGTATAGTGGTGTGAGTGGTTAAATTAGGTGACCCTCTCCAGGTCACTTTTGGCCCCCTTTCAGAGAAATTGTTGTACCTGAAGATGGAACTTCCTCTAGCTTTTCACACATTGTTTGCCACAAATTGTAAAAGTAATTTTACATGTTAATTTTAAGTATTTAAACAGCTAGTAAAAATGCTGCCCTACGGGTGACTGTTTGTGCTAGTAATTAGTAATCAAAGTATTCATACCTTATTGTAAAAAATTTAGAAATAGTGAACATTTACTAAAGTATTTTTTTTCTGGGAAGTACTGCATAGGAAAAGTGTTCGGATTGTGCTATTTAGTCATATGCAACTCATTGCATCAAAATAATTCAATGTA